GCTCTGGATACTACCCATCAATCTTCCGGTGTTGGTGGTCTGGATACGCAACCTGGCTGTTCATTGGATGACACCCTTTTCGTCGCACCACAACATCCTCTCAATCATGCCGTTTATCCTGCTTGTCGAAACACTCAGCACCGGCCGCATGGTCCCTCGCGCCGAGTTCCGCGTCTCGATCCTCACAAACATCCTGCTCTTCTCGATCGGCGCATATGCCGCTGTCTATGGCGTGACCTACGCATACGTTCTACACCACCTAGCCAACATACTATGTGCCTGGCTAGTCGCCATCCACTTCGACCCATCAACATGGTCATCAAGAAGAACAAGCCACCCCACAGAAAGCAGAACCCCCGATAGCGAGACGAAGAAACGACCATGACAGTAGCGATAGTTCGCAAATTTCAATTCTCCTCCATAATTCTTTTTCGGCGTTCAATACCCCACTTTTTCTTCTTCTTCGTTTCTCTCTCTCTCTCTCACATTGCATGTCCGGGTTGCTACTCCAGCTGGCGTTTTGTATCTCACGGCATCAGCATTGTCTGTAAGGAGCATATGTAGCGTTTTGGGCTTTTTTTCTACTAGATGATTGCGTTGCATATGGGCGGCGCATATGACTTGTTTCTGAAGGGCATTGGGTTGTTTGACCCACGGGGTCGTATTAGAAGAGGATCTTGATGGGAAGACAGCAGCGCAATATGGTGGTGGTGTATAGCATTGCGCACATGTAGGCAGAATAGTTAATCTGGTGAAGCGATGGGGCTTCGGGGACTATATTGTGTAATGGCGGATGCTACAATAAGAAGATCAAGTCTCACCACGATACCCTGTTGAGATCATCATGCTAGTGAGATATGTCAGTGCATGCACAAAACAGAATCTCGGCGGATGTGAACGAGCAAATGATGTTTTCAACTACAATACCATATCTAAACGCCACAAAATGCTACTTCACCATCTTTTCCAAAAAAGGTTCATCATCTACTTCCTCCTCTTCCCCCCACCCCCACCATCCTCCCCAGAATGACTCCTCTTCTTCCCCTCCCTCGCCCAATACTCCTGCTTCTCCCTCTTCTCGCGCTCGGCCCTCTTCTCCGCATTCTCAGCCACCTTCTTCTTATATGGATCCTTTCTTTCCTCCTGCTTCTTGCGCCGCTTCTCCACTTTATCATTCCTAATCGCAACAACCTGATCCATAAGCCTCCTTGCCTTCTTCTCCTCGCCGCCCACCACCACAGCGCGTTTCTGCATGTACGTCTGTTTCTTCTGGGGCTTGACCGTCGCGATCTGCGATTTAAAGGGCAGGTCTGCGGCGAGTTTGCGGGGGACGCGCAGGGGGTTGAAGACGCGGGTGGGGCGGTCGATGGGGCGGTAGGCGGAGTTTTTCTCGGAGGGCGTGGCGATGCCGTTTTCGTAGCGGACGAGACCCGTGAGGCGCATGCCCGTCCAGGATGTGGACTCGCCGTCCTGGCCTGGGAGGGCGGGGTTGAGCAGGTTGGTGACGGTGTTGTAGAAGCGGCGGGGCTTGATGGGGTACCACGCCCTGAGGAACACGATATCGCTCATGAGGATCTTGTCTTCGAACGTGGCACGGAAGTTTCCTTCGGGCTTACTGAGAGCGCGCTTGATCTGCCCGCGGACGCCAGAGACGGTGCGGATGCTTGCGCCTTCGAACTTTGCGATTTCGAGACTCGATTTGAACATGTCTTTTACGAAAGCGGTGTTTTTGAAGATCTTGTAGGGGTGGCCGGTTAGTTTTAGCTTCTTGACGATTTCGGTGGATTCGTCGACGTTGAGGACGACGCCCGTGGCTGCGATGCGGAAACCGGGGGTTTTGTTGGAGAGGGATTGGATGCAGACGAAGCCGGTGTTTGGGGCGACGAGGGGGCCGTAGAAGGTGCCGAAGCAATGCATGTGCTCGGGTGTGTATTTTAGCATGCGGTTCCTTGTTCGTGAATCGGAGATGCTGTAGATGGGCGTAGTTTGGAATCGTCTCCAGCCCAGCGAGAAGATGAGGGGATCGTTCGTCTTGAGAATCTTCTTGTGCCATCTGTGGCGCTTGATGCGGATCTGAACGAAGCCAAAGCGCTCTTCAGTTGGCGTCAGGCCACCGATGAGAACGGGGAATCGGGGGTTGAAGTGTGCGGAGAACTCGTAGGGTACGTTTTCGAGCACTATGCGAGCGTATGTTCCCGCCTTGTGGCCTTCAACCTGAACACGAGATATCTCATCCAGTTGGTCGAACTCGGCGCGGTTGATGTCCAGTTGCTTCTGGATCATGGCCTTCTGTGCGTCGTACCAATCGTCTTCGCCGAACTCTTCTTCACCACCACCCTCTTTTCTTGCATCAGCCTTGTCGTTCATGAAACCTTCGCGATCTTCCTCCTCGAACCGAAGCTTCAGTTCCTCCTTCCGCCGAGCGTTCTTTTCGCGCTCTGCTTCGATGTCGTTTGTTTCAGCTTCAGCCCCAGTGTTCTCGGTTTCACCACCGTGCTTCTCACCAGTCTCAAGATCCTCAAACTCGCCGTCACCCTCGTCGTCTTCGTCGAAGCCTTCAAAGTCGTCATTATCTTCGTCATCATCACCACCCTTGCCATTCATATGACCAGTAGCAAAGCGACCCATGAGAGCCTCGACGTTGTCCTCGTCTTCCCATTTCTCGGCCAGTTCTTCGTAGTTGAACTTAGGAATGTAACGGTCTTCAGCGTTGGCAGCATCGTCGGCTGTTCTTTTATTGAAGAAGCCATCATCCTCGTCACCCTCCTCCTCAATATCTTCCTCCTCTTCATCGCATCTCCACTTCTTGAGGACCTCTCCCGGCGCTAGATCCATATTGTACATCATCTTCGCCAGGTCTGTGACGCGGTACGGTCGTTTCCGCCCGTGTAGTTTCGCAGCATTCTCTCGGAGATTTGCCTTCCACCGTGCGCCATCTTCAGCTTCATCTGAGTCTGAATCTTGAGAATCAAGATCGCCCTCTTCGAGATCCTCTAGATCCTGTTCATCGCCAGATATTGAGCCGAGATCGGAGTCACTGTCCGCGAACGCTACGTCCTCGGCAGTGTCCGCCTCCTTCTCTTTGCGCGAGACCTTGAGCTTGCCGTTCGGGGGGCCGTTGGTATCCAAGAATCCAGTATCGTCTTCGTCGTCGTCGGCATCGCTGTGGTCCTGCTGCAGTTCCTCGTCGTCGCTGTCGATGTCATCGAGATCCTCATCGTCGACCTCTTCAGCGTCTGCTGCCCTAGCCGTGCGCTGAGGCCGTCGACCCGTATCCGCAGTATCGTTCTCGAGGGTCTTGTTGTCAACGACGTCGCCATCCTTGAACAGCCTAAAGTTGCCGTCGTCTTCACCAAGCAGCTTCCGTCCACCCTGCAGTCCAATCATCATCTGCTCGCCCAGACCTTTCTCAGAGTAATCCGCCTCGGGATCGAACGTGGCAGTCTTGACGTCGATGTAAACAGCGTCCTTGTCGACGAGCACACCACCAACATCCGACATTGGCGCATACAGAATCTTCTGCTTCTCGCCCAATCTTGTGCGCTTCTTCTTTCCAGAAGCCTTCTCCACTGCCTTCTCTGCAAACGGTGTCGGACATGGATCGGGTAGCGCTTCCGTCGCAGTGACTGTCAGATCTCCAACACCCGGTATGTGTACTCTCGACGACCCAGCGGGAAAGTTCGTGCCGCGCAGATATCCGTACAGCGCAATCGTGCGATCGCATTTAGGGTTCTGCTCGATATCGGTCGGAGGCGTAATATCCAGGAATCTATCCGCCAAGCAGTACGGATGAGAATTCCTCCACACCAGCGGTCTGGGGTTCTTCATGACGCTCAGAAACCTCGAGAGGTTCATAATCTCCCTGTCTGGGTACCGTCCATTGACCACACCACTGAGATAGAAGAGTTTGGCGCCCTGGTATAATTCGCTCCAGAACCTGTGCTTGAGCCTCTTCTTCTGCAGCTTGAGCGTCTCCTGTTTCCGGAACAAATCCAAATGTGTGAGGATACCGAAGACGTTTCCGGGCATACCGCTTGCGCTCAGGACGTTCAAGAACTCCATGGTCTCCATCTCGAAGCCGTAGTTGCCGTCAATCATCAACAGCACTATGTCCACCACTTTTGCGATGTCGATCATGCTGGCGAGCGAGTCGGCGGGACATTCTAGGAACGTGAGGCGGCGGCGCTTCGAGGTGACGACTGTGAGGGGGCCCGTGGGCGTGGAGAGGGTCTGCTTGGTGTACCGTCTGATTAAGCTCTTGATGAGAGTAGTCTTGCCGACACCGGGAGGGCCGACGACGCCGACGATGATGGGAGGTGCTTCTTCGGGAAGACGGTCGACGAGCGGGACGTGGAGGCGCTTTTCTTTGACCTGGAAATGTTAGCCAGAGTGGCGCACAGCTTCGAGCCTTACATACTTCAGTGGAGCGCGCAGCATTCCGCTTCAATTTGCCCGGCGCTGAGAATGCGAAAGCCTTGGGGTTCTTGTCGCCCGTATGCGGTTTCTTTTCCTTCTTCGGCCGATGCGGCCTATTACTCTGTGCGTCCGCCATATCTGCTGGTTGTCGTATCGCACTCTCAGACTTCAGTGGAAGTCGTCAGAGTGGCGTGTTGGGTCTCGACTCGTCGCGCGCAAAGTCAAAGTTGGAGCGGCAAGCAACTTCACGATCCCAACTTTTTCGGCGCTAGTCCAGCCGCTAAGGCCGCAGCTGCAGGGATGGGCTTATCGATAAGAGCGCGCGCCTCCCACGTACGGGTGGTGGGGCAGGCTGTCTCACATGGCGCCGAGGGTGGGCATAGTCTGGACAGCGCACGTCATCGTCAGACGCCGCCTATCCAAGGCTCTAGACTGCTTGTTGACAGGGTCCGATGGAGAGATAGCTGAGGTATATAAGCCACTGACACGCTTTGACCTTGCTGCATCAACACCACAACACTGCAACTCAGCTTCACTAAACTACCCCTCAACTAAACCAGCAAACCTCGCTACCAACTCTCAACATGCCTGCCTTCATGGTGAGTCCTCCCCAACACACTGCAGTCTGTATCATACTAACGGATGCAAGGTCACCCTCAAGGAATCCGCTCCCAAGGAGGAGCTCGACAACGCAAAGCAGCACGTTATCGATCAGGGCGGCAAGATCACCAACGAGTTCACTCTTATCAAGGGCTTCAGGTACGCGTCTCTATACCCAAACTTCCCCGCAGTAATAATGACACACGGCAGCGCCGAGATCCCCGAAGGCGTGGTCACCACCCTCTCGTCCAACGAGCACGTCAACGTCGAGGCGGACGGAGAGATGAAAACACAATAGAGCTACTACACGACCGCCGCTGATGGGTGCACAAAGATCAAGATGTAGGCCAATGAGCGGAAGCATAGGGCATGATGCATGAGCATATGATTTCATGGGTATATAACGATAATCAACGGCTTTACCGACAACGTGACGTCGTCTGCCTGTGATTCCTTCATCTCTGCCTCCCCGCGTCTTCCCTAGCCTCCTGTACGGTGTCTACTCTGCCCACTCCTCTTAAGCTGAGGTACACGTCTGTACCCCACCCCCAGAGACTCTGTACTGCAATACCTCCGCCGAAGTATTCCGCATAGGCTCTTCCCAACGGCAGTCCGTATCCCAGCCCCGCTAGACTGTTCACTCCATCGCCTCCTGCCCCTGAGAAGGCGTTCAGAGCATCCATGCCGGTGGCTGAATTGCTACCACCGGAAAGGGTGGTAATTGCCTGCGCGTCGTTGAAAGTTGTGAAGCTGTAGTCCCAGATGTGTGAGAGGTTATCGGGGGAGATGCCGCCGCCTCGGTCTCGAATTCGTATCGTCACGCCGGGTGTGCTGTGTTTGAGCGGGAGAATGTTCGAGTCGGACGGTGGAGACGTAGGCGAGCTGTTGCCTGTAAAGCGCTGTGAGACCTGATCTACATTGCCCTGATCCTCATTGTCAACCTTCTTGTTTCGGATGTCTTTTGAGTTCTCGCTGCTTGCATCTTCGGGTAGAAGTTCTGGAAGCGGGGCGATGGTCACTTCGATGGGTTCGCGTTCCATGCCGCTTTCCACCGTCGCGCGGAACGCGTTCTTGAGCAACTCGGTGATGATGTATTCGAGATGGACGGGTATATGCGCGAATTCGTAGTCGAGTTCGCCGTTGATGACGATGGTCGGCCGGACGCCATACTTCAGCTCACAGATCTCGCCCACCACGTTGGCGCAGTGGTCTACAATCCTCGCCGGCCTGAGTCTTGTGTCGATAACGCCGATGTATCCTGGGCTCTCGTCTACTTCATGCATCATCTCGCAATGCGGCTGACTGGAGAAGTGAAGAGACAGATGCTGTTCCGCAATCAACCTCGTGCCTATCCGCGCGCGCAGATGCTCGTCCAGGAATCGGGTCACATCCTTTGGGCTGATGTATTTCCTCGCCTCCAGAAAGCCTCTCGCCAGTATGCTAATCGTATTGGCATGTGTTTGTACCAGATCCGCCATGACCTCGGTGAACTTGACTTCCTCCTCCAGCGTCTTTATCTCCTGCTCAGCCCATGGTAGCAGCGTCGACAGGCTGTGCATGTAATTCGAGTGGATCTTGGAGACATGAGGATTGGAAACGACGATGAACGGGAGGTTGCGGAGCGATTGTATGCGGTGCGCGAGGCGGGCGGGGAGGATGGAGAGGGTGAAGTTTGCCGACGTGAGGAGTTGTTGGGTCGTCAGCGGCGGTCTTCCGTGTCTGTTGCGCACGCGACAGCGTTAGCCAGGGTCCTCGGCAGATGCATTGGGAAAGACAGGTCTGACAACACTCACTTGACGAGATCGGCCAGTGTCAACGGGTGTAACGGTAAGCTCGCCAGATGCGAAATGTCGTTGTCGGTAACCGTCTTGGTGTGCAGCTTTCGGTAGTAGCTTCCTCTTGCGAACAGCGCGCTGCTTGTTCTTCTCGCCGTGCGCGGGCAGCATAGTCGTATCATCTGCGACTGTATGATAAGCGGTCGCTGAACTTGCGCCATGGTACTGTATGGCAGGACTCTGCTACAGGGTCTGCGCTGGCTGGTGCTGAAATGACTCCTCGATCGTGTGAAGAGCTGGATGTGTGACTGCTAATTGAATAGAGTCATAGACATTCCTGGTGGGAAGTGCAAGGGCTAAAATCGGTTCGGCATTATGGAACGCGGCTGCCGTCTGAAGAAGGTTCGGACGCGCAATATTCCATTGCAGCGGGAGCAATTGAGTTGTGGGGGAAGCTTCACCAAGCTCACCTGGGCACGCGGGATGCGAGCTAGCGGTGTGAGGCTGATGTCATTCGTGCATATCCCACGCTCGAGGATCAACACGACAACTCAATTTAATCATCAACACCTCGCCCTGGGACATGCACAAGATGCCCCCACGGTCCGGAAACCGATTAAGATTGAATCTCGACAGGTTTCAGCCATGTCAGAGTCAGCATCATGAGGGTGGATGATCAGAGATCGGGTGAACATCTCAGCACAAAACATATGGTGAAGAAGATGTAATATTGATTGGTATATCAAGAGATCTATATCAACCCTCCTAGAACCCCCATCTCCAACCCCCATCTACAACTTCGCCTTCGCCGCATCAAGAGTAGGCAGCATAATATCCCTCATATCACCCGCCGCCTCATTGAGGTAAAAGCTCATCTTCTCCTGTGTGTTGTTAGCCTTCATCCCCTCATATTCCATATCGACACGACTTACCGAACCAAGACCCTTAGAGCAAACATTGAACTGGATGCTATTCTCGTTAATCATATACGCAATACCCCATCCATCGTCGATGACCTGCGACCACCCATAGCCATTGAAGTACTCGCTCGACAGCTGAGAACTCGAAATGAACCATGTGGAGCTGTAGGTGTAGGCTGGGTCTTGGTACAGAGCAGGTACCTCCTCGCCCTCTTTGAGGCACTTCTTCAGGCCGAAGAGGTGGCGGTCTACACCGCGGCCGTCGCTGGCGTCGGAGATGTACTTGACGTGTGCGTCGAGTGCGGCTCGCAACTTCTTCGCGCACTCCTCGGGTGTAGCATCGGCGTCGGCCATGGCGTTGCAGAACGCGACGGATTCGTCGGAGACGGTTCTGCAGGTTTCTGTTCGGCCTTGTTGGAAGCGGCGGGTCGCCGCGGACTCGTACGTGGGTCGGTTCTTGCCGTAGAACTTGTGGTAGGCGAGCTGGATGATCATTTGGACGTAGGCGTCGGGGCTGCACTTGAACTTCTTGATTAGGCCTTTGCCGTAGCCTTGGTAGGCTTGCACTCTGAGCTCGTGTGCGCCGATTTGGCGGGAGAAGTGGGATTGGGCGTCGGCGATGTCTTGCTGGAGCTCCGCGTTGATCTCGAAGCGGAGGGGTTTCGGGTTGGGCAGGTCGGAGCGGACGTTGGGGTCGTCGAAGGGGAGGGCGTTGGTGAAGATTTGCTGGTTCGCGTAGTCGTTGAGGCGGTGGGTGGGTGTGCCGTCCATCATGGAGTGCTCGCCCATGAAGCCAGATGTGCCGTTCTCGTTGACGATGAACTGGAGGGGCTTGTCGAACCAGCGGTTCGCGCCATCGCCGTGCCAGTACTGGTGTGCGCGCTCTTCGAGAGTGACGGGAGATGCGTCGTCGAGGCAAACGACAAAGGAGGCGGCTTCAATGTCTTGAAGGGATGCGGCGTTGTTGGCAGAGGCAGCCTTGAGCTTGGGGTAGACGTCTGACCACACATCACGGTTCTGGGATGTGAGAATACCGACTGCGGGCGCTTTCTCAGCCTTCTCATATACGCGCTGGAACTGGAGCTCGAGCTCGCTGGTGTTGAGCTGCTTTCCGTTGATCTCGTGGGGGATCTTCCAGAACTGGTTCTTCCTTATCGCAATGATGTGCGGGTTCTCCTTGTAAGGGTACTTCGTGCTGGTGTCGGATGGCTTCTTGGGTACACGGCAGCAGTTGAACATGTGCTCGTAGGAACTCATGGCCATGGGGAGCTTCTTCATGTACTCAGGCTCCAGGCTGCACTCATCAACCATCTTCTTGAACTCGAGCACAGCTGTTGAGAGAGCTGCAGCGCGCTTTGCTGGGTTTCGCCTCTTCCTGTCATCGCGGTGCGAGTAGAAGTAGCTGACGTATGGCACAACGGGGTCGCGGTAGGCCATGTACGCGGCATCGTTCCACCACTCGTAGATCCAGTTCCTGTGCTTGGGGTCCTCTCTCCGCTCCACCAAGCGCTTTTGGAGCTTCTCTCCAGGCCCGCCAGGAGCCACGAACTCATTGACAGCCTTTGTAGTCGCGTCGAACTCGTTTTGGGAGAGGAGCGGGTGAACGGACTTGAGGTATCGCTTGGCGGTCTCCTCTAAGGTGGGGACGGGGAGTCGCGGAAGGGAGTCTTCGAAGCGCAGCATGGCACCTTTGCTGTGGTCCTCCTTGTAACCTGCGCAGACCTCGTGATTAGTTCTGAACCATCCCAAGCATGTGAAAGAAGCGCATCCACTTACCCGCTGGCAAACTCGACTGTTTCCGTGCTGGAGCCATTGCGACAATCTACACGCGCCAGTGGTCAGCATCTCCTCCCCACCAAGACTCGATCCTCCACGCGACAACATACTCTAGGCTTCGCAAAAGCGGGCTGGTTCAAAAGTGGTCTGCGAAGTATCGAGGCGGAGGCGGGTACTCGCGCGCGTGCAGCTCTGCTGAACATCACAAAGAAAGATAGGTGAAGTAACCAGGGAAGAAATTACAGGAGATGATATCAGAAGTCCTAGCTTTCAGTAGATCCGAGGCCAAATGAGCACGCGCTGGCTGCGATGACCGGGGTGGAGCTGTGAATGGAACAAGCCGAGGTTGTCGGACTAAGGTTTCGCTGATGCCGGTGACGTGATGTTTGCAGTCTGACGGCCGCTTGCCCGGATGGATGCAACGAGCGACTATCTTATATGGCTCTGCTAAATTCGTCCCAAGACACCAAGACTGCAGCTTCCTTCCTTCTCAGCCTGTTTGCGAAATGCCATGTTTCCGAGGTGTACACATCGCGATTCTGGGGTGCCCCGCGGCAGTGTCCCCACTAAACACGGACGCGACGAGCCGGCAATTTCACACCCACAGCCCAGGAGCCGAGGAAGGGATTCCTCGACCGAGCTTGCAAGCGCGCAAGGCTATGATGAGCCTCATTTGGTCATGTGATGGATGAGGCTCGGTCTGGGCACGGGGCCACGGGGCCACAGTTCGTACGAAGACGTCGGTGTCTCCATCTCGCTCCTTGGCGTCGACGCTGGATGCGCCTCGGGGTAGTCGTTAGAGAAACGACCATGACTACCTAGGTAAGTTGGATGAAAGAACATTCGTCTGCACCGCAAACTAAGGAAAGTCAGTCCTCCGCATGATGAAGCAGCATAGGGTGCTCCGAGCAGTTCATGAAGGGCACAACATCGTCAATAACTGCACAGCTTACCCTAAGTTGTTGATGACACAGCGTGCCGAACAGCCAGTTGAGCATACCTAGGTAATGTTGAACCACGATTGTAAGCCGCACGGCAAGGAATGGGTCATGGAATCCGGTATTCCTTATACCATTCTCCAACAGAATACTTTCATGGATGATATTCTTGTCGCTATACTTGCTCAAAATTAGAAACCCGTTTTGCCCGCGCTGTGAAAAACGTAAAATAGGTCTTGGATGCTGGCCTTGACTGATCTCGTGGAGGTAATGAGGACTGTAGTGGTGGCGTAAGAAAGGCCTTCCTACGCGGTCTATCCGCTTACATCTAGATATCGGGCTATAAGTTCCGAGGAGGCTTTGAGGGCTGTGTTTGGGAAGATCGGGAAGGAGGTGCTGGCTGAGAAGAATTTGGCTGGGGACGCGGTAGATGCGTTACTAGAGGGGGTGTATGAGATTGAGGATAGAGGGCTAGAGGATAGAGGGAGTATGAATTCGGCGGGGAGAAGGGTGTTGCGTTGGTATGGGAGGGAGTTAGGGGGGAATAGGCACGTGATGTGGTGGGTGGTTGGGAGGGAGGCATAGCAGTTGAGGGATATGTTCACGGAGTGGTTGTGAGAAAGTGAAAGGTGAGCTCAGGATGGATATGGCATGATGGTAATGACGTATTTTCATTGTTGTCTTCGACAGTAACATCTCTTTCTGTCTCTTCCTATCTCAAAGACGCGTTGATCTCTCTTCCTAAGAGCGATGTAGAGCAGAACAACCCCAACACCAGCGCTTCCCAAAGAACCCCTGCAATTGCTCGTCTATCCAGACACCAGCATTGCCCCAAGCGAAGAAACCGGAAAGACTCCAGTCCGAGGAAAGTGTGTTGTGAATATAAACATAAGAAACGTCGCAGTGACGGGGTATAAAATTCGACACGTTGTATCGAAAAGGTGTTTGAGCAATGCGATTAGACTTTCGCATCGCATCGCAGGAAAGTACGGACTTTCGGACACCGACCGGGGGATTGTTCGCTCGGTATGTGTGCGTCCGGGGCTGTCAGATGTTTGAAGATTCAGTGGGGTGGTCTTCCGTGCTGTCGCGTTTCATGTCACGGATCGGTGTCCGACCGGACTTTAGACGACCTCTTGCAGTACAGCATCAACGCCATCGAGTGTGTTATCGGCGATGCCATGGCTTAGTACTCAGACCAATGGCACTGCTCGCCAACCTTTTCAAACTCCAAGCTCCTGTTCACACGGCGCCGTGCGCGCTCTTCGCGACCGAGACAGCAGAACAGACGTGCGAGGCCGCTGCGCTTCCGCGGTTCAAGACCCTCGTAGGGGTTCTCTTTGGAGTGCGAGGCTGTTGTTGATGCTGGGCTGAGAGGGATGGTAGCGTCGGCGAAGATGTCGCGAGGTTTGCGCGGATCCTTTTCCGAAGTGCTTGAATAAGGCGAGTTTGTTTGCGATGAGTTGGCCGAGAAGGATGTGTCGAGCGGAGAAAGCATTTGCATTTGGCGGTTTGCTCGTGGGGAGCTGGGGAGGCCGGTAGGCGAGAGTGGTGGGTAGGACATGTTGATGACGAAAGACGGTTGTTGTAAGGCGTGTGTGTGTTGGAGATGGTAGTCTCGATTCAAGAGAGAAAGGAAGCGTGTGAATGATTATATGCGATCGCCACCGGTGGTTAATGGATATCAGTTAAGAAGCGAATAAAGCCGTTATATGAGAGAAACAATGTTTGTATGACAAGAAAATGGCACCAAGGGGATGCAGAGGCGTATATGTTTATGCCGATCCATCATCCTGCCGTGACCGCAATCATACGTTACCCAGGGGGGCAGGCACTGCAAGGTATCTCCACGCCAAGGGTCCGACGCCGTAAGATGATGGCCAGGGGCACCACGCAGACGCAGCGCAGCGCGGGGCACCGAATGTCCGCCACCAAAAAGTATCCCCGGTCTGTCACTGCCGCAAAACGGGACATTTGTAGCAAGGCGTAAGTTTATCCGCAGTTTCACAGGGCGACGATTTGTGTTTTCCATGTTGGATTTTCGCGGCTCTTGTCCAACCACAACAATCCGCGTCGCGCAAGACCAACCAACAGCGCGCAGCAAATGCGGCGTAAGGCGCTGCTCGCTGCATGAAGGTCTGAAACCACGCCGTCTTCATGCGGAAAGGCTAGACCAAACGTTGCCAGAAAGCCTGAGGCCCGCGCTCCCAAAGAGTCAGCGAACCTGTTGTTCCTGCGAAAGAACGAGCGTAGGCAAGGCTGTTTGTTGGGTCTGGCTGCGTTTGTTTTTGCGATGACCCACCCTGCTCACACTCCTTGAAACGGTCTCAACGTCGCACGTCTGTTGGAAACAAACGATGGATCGCTCGTCACCTCCCGCGCCGCGTATGTTGTTAATAGTTGGCTATTTCCCATGTTCATGCGGAGGATGGGAGGAGCGAGTTTCGTTACATGTCGTCCCGCGATTGCGCCGATGGAGAATCCACCGGGTGAAGTCGTGCTGTCAGCACTTACTTCGGACCGCATGGTGTTGGTTGAGCTGCCAACGTGGATAGTGACATACATAGTACGTGTGTTGTCTGCAGTTGGAGGCAAACTTTCATTACTAGTTTCTTCGAGTGACCTGTCAAGTGACGGACAGTTAACGACATGTGGATATGTCTACGCGAGCTGGTCGGTTCGTGCATGATAGTTGTTGGTTTATCGCCGGCATTGCGTGCGGCACAGCACCGTTAGCACTTCCCCGGGATCCTGCAATCCTCCGTGAAGCTTATCTCTGTATTGATGCAGTTCCTGCAAGATGACGATGGCGATTCCTTGACTGACTTGCTGTGAACTGCGACCAGACTCATCGTTCCCAAAGACGAGTATGACTGAGCGCTCTCACAAGTCGTTGGTTGCGGGGAGTATCTACCGTGTTCGTGAGCAAGAGCCATACTGTGTGCATGCAACGCGTCAAGACTGCCTCGCCAGATATACGTGCGCATCTTAACGCGAATGCGGCGTGGTTGCTTCGCCGCAGTTGGCGTTGTGCGGCACAGCTACAACAGACGCTTATCTAGCTTTTTTGATGAGTATGATGCGTAAAGCCTGCGGAGATATAAGGGCACTACTGGAAAGTAAAATGAGCGGAATCCATAGGGCCTTCCACATCAATAGGCCCATGCTATGATGTCAGCGCTACTTGCGTCCTGCATTTTCAGGCCATGAGGCAGGAGCGCGATGCCACTACAGTAATGAAGAACGATACCTGAACTCATATCAGGAAGAGAGTGAGTAGGTATAATGGACTGGAGTGGAGAAGATTGTTTGCAATGCGTTGCCGCGTCATGTTCGCTGTTCGATGAAAGAACGAAGAGAAAGACGCGCTAACCCAAAATGGATGACGCGCCTCCACATTCAACTACCGTGACCACCACCGATGATCCCACTTTCACCACCAGCTTCTATTCTTCTTCGCTCGGGATCTTTTCCGGGCATACGCACATATCCTGTCGACCACGTTCACTAGTGTCAAAGTAAGCTGACTTCCACACGAGTAGTCCCGAGGCCGTCGCGCCATGATCGAGATGTCATTTCAAATAAACTTTCCAATTCTGTGCACTAACTACGACCATGACGGGAAAGGGGGGATAGAACGCCGTTGGATATGCTATTGCTGACCACGAGGCTCAGCTCGTTGATAGCCTGAACCTCAAACGCCTTGTCCATGCATACAAACTCAACTGCACCTCCTTTCGTGAACACCGCAATACGATGCAACGCCTGCAATGCTGTGGCCGACCGTGATGTATGAACTCCAAAGACACATGTCTTCGGTAAGTCGTACTGTGGTATACCCACATAGCCTTCGAGGCTCTCATGTAGGTGGATGCCGCAACGCCCACGTAACCAGGAAGTCGTTGACAGCTGCCAAGTCGGCACCCGCAGCGAGAGGTCCAGGTACATTCAGACGGAAAGCCTGAATGTACTGTTCCACCTGGCTGAGCATGACGTGCTGATGACCATGCAACGTTGCATGTTCGATGGCGATGGTGAGACGACCACGATGTTGACCTTGAGGGTGGCGCACAACACTGTGGCTAAGCCGAAGTAGAGA